ATAATAAGCATTAACTTTGCAACGAAAACATGAAAGATAATCTTAAAATTAATATTATCAGAAGCATTTCTTTGTGCTTGACTACTCTCTGAATAAATTCTTGTGAGGGTTCAAATTTAAACAGAGATATTAACTCAAAACTTAACGAAATTCATCAAAAGAATGCTTCTGAAAAGGATAAAACTTAAAATCAGCGTTTACTGTTCATTTGGCCCGGCCTGGGGAACACAGCCCGTGGCCCATTCCGTAATAGCAGTGCGCGGACTAGCGAAAACACAGTGGCCCAGCGGCCTGCTTTGCGCGGTGCACGCGCCCGCTCCCCCGCACCCAGGCCGCAACCTGGGCCTGGGCCGAGAATCTCTTCGCCCGCCTAGGCCTAAAGCAGGCCCGAGTGCTGTCAGCCCTCGGATCCGATCCGACAGTTCTCCGTGTGCTTTGGCGGAACAAAAACCCCTCCCTAGTCGCTGGTCCCGAACCCTAGAGCATTTGCTTTCTCCCTCCCCTTGCTTCCTTCTTAGTGCCGCACCGAGTGAGGAGAGCATCAGCGACGGCTGTACATGGCGGCTGGAGGAGAGATAGCGGCGCCGCCGCAGGCCCCCTCTCTAGTGCACACGTTCGCCCGAGGGTAAGCGCGCCGCCGTCGAGCGGCCTTGCGTCGGTGCCCTGAGCCCGAGCCACTGCGGCAGCACTCTTTGCCCGACGGCGTTTGGATCGGCTTGTTCTCCCGCACGGCGGCGGGGCTTTCTTCTCGCGTGATGGCGGTGCGACGGTGGTGGAGCCCTAGTGAGTCCCTCTCCCGATCCATCCATGTTCTTTAGGGTTAGAGTTTCGGGTTTGCTCGGGATTTGGTATTTCTAGGGTTAGGTTTACTCCGAATCGAATCACCTCCTTCTTAATTCTACCCCAAATTCTAGATCTACACCTAGACCTGGCTTAACTGATACCAATGATAGACATAGTTGATCACCTAGACATAGATCTAGCGGATAAAACCTTACATACGGGATAAAAACTTCCTAGAACATGATCTAGAGAGAGAGAGAGAGGGGAAGGGAGGTGAGACACAGACCATCCGCGGGCTTGGAGGAAGAGCTCGACGTAGCCATGGCGAAGGTGATGCGGTCCGGGTCGGCGGTGTCGCGGTGACGGTCTTGAGGTCAGTCGCAGTGCAGTGGTGGCGCAAAGGCGGCAGTGGAGATGGCAGTGGAGCTTCCGTCGCTGTCTGCGCCCCTCACTAGATCGAATTGGGTTTGTTGGTGGGTGTGGCGGCTCACGGTGAACCTCGTACTGAGAGCCGCCGGCCCCCACCTCTCTTTATAGCGCAGTGCGACGGGGCCCACCAACCATGTAGGGTTGGGCGCCCCCGATCAGGGCGCGAGGTCAAGGCCCAACTCGGCCGTTGGGCCGAGCTGGAGAGATCAACACTAACACGTTTTTCTTAATTATTATTATTACTTGCTTTATGAGTAATGATTAACATCTGAAATTTCTGATTGTTGCACTAGTATGCAATGTTGGTTGGCCTAAGTGCTATGTTTGATGTCTTCCTGTGGCGATATTGGGCCTCAGCAGATGATGAACATACTCGGATTCCCCTTCAGTATATGACAATGGATGATGGAAATCCGAGCTTCTGATGCGCTTATGGCCTTATGCCCGATTAATGCAAATGTTTTCAAGTTTTCTTTTTGCCCTGTGCATTATTTTATCATCATATTAGAGGGGATGCAACCTTTTAATTCTTACTTCAATGCTTTAACCTGGGTGTTTATGTACCCAAGTCAAAGTTGTGATTGCTTACTGGAGTTTTTTTTTTGACCATATGTGTGTTTTCAATGTTGCACTATACAATGCCTTATTTTAATTACAAGCCTGAGCCAAAGTGGGACAGATATGGTCCAAACACACAAATTGTGGACGATAGCGTTTTCTTTTTTCAACTGTGTCCAGCTTTCACAGTAAATGGGTCCGTATTGTACAATCATATACAGTACGATGACGCTCTGTGTTAGGTTTTGAATGCGCTTATGTCCTTATGCCCAATTAATGCCAATGTTTTGCAGTTTCCGTTTTGCCTTTGCATTTTATTATAATAAAAAATTAGAGGGGATGCAACCTTTTAATTCTTACTCCAATGCTTTAACCTGGGTGTTTATGTACCCCATGTTTTTTTAACCTAACAACTACATGCTGGGTGGCAACACCATTTACAAGATTATATGTTTCTTTACGTTCTCGTAGACTTATTAATTATTCATCAGTTCTATCTGGTCTGCTGTCTGCATCAGTCCATTTTTGTGAGGCCATGCATTGCATAAGGCCAGAAATAGAATTAACCAAGGCTTCCATTTGTCAATTTGTACATAAAAATATGATGCTTTGATTTACCGGTTGTAGTTTAATTTGATGCGTGTCTGGTACCGAAAGATAGTTGCGAGTGCTTGGATCATAACTTTGACTGGACCATATCTTTGTGTTGCCAATGCTGTATTGTTGGTACTACTGTATTTATTGCTTACTTTAATTATAAGGCTGAGCCAAAGTGAGACAGATGGTCCCACACAAATTTTTGCGCTATAACGTTTGCTTTTTCAACTGTTGCTAATTAATTTATCCAGCTTGCATAGTAAATGGACGCCCTGTGTTAGCTTGAATGTGACTTACAAGCACCTTGTTAAACTTTCCATTGGACGCTCCATCCTGCATGCAGGCTAGGATCTTAGCCCACAACGCCTCATATTTCCTGAAGAGCGGCGGCCACTTTGTCATCTCGATCAAGGTATTATTACGACTACTTGTTAACACATCACAATGAGGTTTTTTCAACCAAAAAAGAAAGCTGGAAGCAAAGCACCAGATGCCTTAGATATCTGTTCAAAGCTTTAGTTTGAAGCCTGCATCGATGGCCCTGACGAATTAGTGTTTGTTCGCTCAGGCTAACTGCATCGACTGCACGATGCCTGCGGAGGCGGTGTTTGCCAGCGAAGTGGAGAAGCTGAAGGCGGAGCAGTTCAAGCCGGCGGCGCAGGTGACCCTCGAGCCCTTCGAGCGCGACCACGCCTGCGTCATCGGTGGCTACAGAATGGCCAATAAGCAGAAGGCGGCGGCCGCGGCGTCTCTCTCTCTCTCTCTCTCTCTCTCTATATATATATATATATATATATATATATATATATATATATATATATATATATATATATATATATATATATATATATATATATATATATATATATATATATATATATATATATATATATATATATATATATATATATATATATATATTCTAGAGTCAAAAAAAATAAGTTATTCTGTAGCCACCTCCATTTACAATAATTTTATATACTAATTTACGATAATGTCAATACATATTTACGATAGTTGGGTTACTATAACACATGGGAATATTTACCATAACATTATAGTAAACCACTTAGTAAGGAGTTACTATAATCTCGTAAATTAACATAGTAATTATCGTAACTCAAAGTGGCTACAGAATAAGTTATTTTGTAGTCAACTATAGAATAGGTTAAAAAAAAGTCGAATTTCTTAGGATTAGGTCTCAAACTAAAGAAAGTTTTGCTGAGGTCATATAGGAAAGATTTTAAAGTTGAGTTTTGAGTAGGTCCCAAATAAAGCTTGTTTTGAGCAGGTCCTAGGTAAAGTTAAAGTTTTAATTGAAGTTGAGTTTTCAGTAGGTCTCAAAGAAAGTTTTGAGGAGCAAGGTCCGAGGGAATGTGATTTTGGTCGAGTGAGTCACAATCTGAAGTGCGAAATTTTGCCATATTTTACAGGATCTGAAGGGTTGTTTAATTGTTTTTGGCCCTTATTATAGCTGATAGCTGAAGTGTGTCGGCTGCTGAGTGGCTTGGACTTCGTCGCGGACACGCTGTGCTGGCAAGGTCAGTTAATCTGGATGTACGCACACGGCTTTGGATCTTTTGGACGGAAAAAGTCAAGTGAAAGCGTGCGCCCGCCCGGCGCTTCGTCGCCGGTCGCTGGCCGCCGGCCGCCGTGGGCACGTGTAATTGCTGCTGGGAGCGTGGTAGGTGTGCTCCTGCTATTCGGCTCTATAAACGGACGGGGAACGCAGTAAAAATAAGCTGCGCAGATCGAGCAAAAAATGCAAAAATACAATATTATGACGGGAATAAAACCAAAAACTCTCGGACGTGTGACAGACAAGAGAACTGAGCAAATATATAAAGAGTCGAAATTTCTTCAGGCTCCCTAAGCCAGCCAGCCATCATGAGCAACTTATTATATACAAACATACATAGAAAGATACCAAATGCCCATACAACGTTAGTCATGGCAATTATTTGAATGTTTTGTTTTTTCGTCAATCCGTTCCTCACTCTGTATTTTACCAGCGTTGATCATACGGTAAAAAATTGTCGGCGGTCTTCAGCAGTAACGTTGCATCGTTGACAATCGTTATTGTGCAGAATGTTTTTTCTGCCCAACTCCCAAGTTGGTCGTGCTGCTGAGCCTGTCTTTTGAAGCAGAGCCATGCAAAGATTTTTACCTTGTTTGGTAAATTGGTACTGTCGTCCTCCAGATTATGTTACCATAATATAGTCCTCAATCAGCGAGGGGTGACGTTAATTAATCCAAAAATGTACGATATCACATAGTAAGTACACAGGATTATGTACCGCGTACCGGTATATATAAGACCTTTGGTTGCTCTGCTGGTTAATTTCGTACATGGACTGGAATTTTGAGCCATATTTGCCTCTCTTGTCACTGTTGTTGCACTAGTGCATACTTACTGCAATTGTTTGTAAGTCTGAGCCGTACGGAACGTGACCAGCGGGTAGCGGCCTCCTCCACAAATCACGAGTCACGACACAGTTTGTTTCCTCAAATAGTGTTTAGTGTCCACCTTCAGCAATAAATTGACCCGTATTGTACGTGCAAGACACCTTATGTCACCTTTGAATACACCTCGTATTGTCAATTCTTTCTTGGATATTAGACGGATGGTGGTACTATTTTGTTCGTACCACTAGGAGCAAAAACAAGCACGCCCTACCTCCGGTGTCAAGCACACCGGCCCTAGCACACCCTAAAAATACACGCTGCAGCAGCTCATATGCCTTGTACATTTTACAGAGATTTTATTTCTTATATTTCGCAATTTTTATGTGCATGGCAATATGTACTTGTAAGGCCCTTGGTTAAGTTGCTTTGATTTCACCGTTGCAGTTTGGTGCGTATATATAGTTTATTTTAGGGGAATTTTGCCGTGGGACACCGAAGAAACATGAAATTGCCCAGGGAACACCGCCAACGTCGAAATTTGTCAGTGGACATTACAAATTTGTGATTCTTGGCCGAGAGACACCGCGTTGATTATTTTATTCATTTTTCAGTTTCGAGGAGAGAGAAGGCAGAAGAAATGTCTAAACTGCCCTTGTCTTCAACCTCTAGTTTTCACTGGCTATTCGAACGCAGGCAGCTTCGATTCCCACCTCGTCCATCTTGACCACCGCCGTGTGCGCAACCTTGGACAGGAACGTCGGCCCCCGTGCAGCGCCGGTGACTACTTGGTCTCCATCGTCCCCCTTGCACATGCCACTCAGGTCGGCAGCCTCCGGTGAGAACGGCAGCGAGAGGCCCAGCTGACTGAGGTCGCCCTTGAGGTCACCCCAGCTGAAGGTGATTGCGAACTTGGGCAGCTTGATGCTGATAGGCCTCTCCTTCATCTCGGCCAATATGCCGTGATGCAGTGCTGTTGGCGACGAGGTGACCATGTCCACCATGGTCAAGAGGCCGTCACGCGTGTCCGGGAGGAAGAAGAACATGGAGTATCTTGCTGCGTGCTCCCATTGGCCTCCGTCGGGCGTGGCCTTGAACTCTGCGGCTACACAAGTGGCGCGGCGCTGCTTCCAGCCACCACGAGCGAGCTGGCAACGCCACTGCCAGCTCTAGCCCCGCCGGCCACGTCTGCGTGGGAGAGGCCGCCATGGTCACAAGACCTGCAGGCTCGGCGCCCAGCCAGCTTCGCCGCCCACTCCGGAGAGGCCACGCGCCGCCCGGCTCGGCGAGGCAAAGAGGCCGCCCAGCGCCGCCGTGCACTGTCCTCCGGCCCCGGCCTCACAAGTAGAGTCCAAATTGATGCCACGCTGGAGGAGCTAGCTCCGCCGCCCGTTCATCCATCGCCGCCCAGCTCTGGCGATCGCGAGGTCCCGGCCATGGCCGAGCCAAGCCGCTGAAGCGCCTGCGCGCCTCCACACAGACAAACGAACGGCAGCACGCCCATCTTTGGGCCGAATCGAGCTGCGCGAGGTCCGCCTCAGACTACGCTGCTAGGGCGGCGAAGGCACGCACAGCCGTCAGATGCAGCGCCGGCGATCGAAGGACATGGACGGACCTCTCTTCGGGTGGAGTCTGGAGGAGGAAGATGACCACGGGGGCAATATGGTCTTTTCACTGCCCTTTCTCACTCCCAAACTGTGAAAATTAATATTTTAATTGCTGCGGTGTCTGGTGGCAAAGAAACGCGATTTTATAATGGTACTGGGTATATTTCTGAGTTGGCGGTGTCTACCAGCAAATATCACGTTTGTCTGATGTCCCACGACAAAATTCCCCTTTATTTTATATTTGTTGTACTGTTGTGTTTCCTCAACTGGTGTTTAGTGTCCAACCTTGAGCGATAAATGGATCCGTACATTTGTACATACAAGACGCCGCTGAATACAAGACATCTTGTATATCATCAGTTCTTTCTTGGACATATACGTACTCCAGTTGTTAGAAAAATCATCCTGTCAACTTGAACCTTGCCTGGTTGACCACGCGGGAAAGGTACATGTGTGGGTATATATGACTTTAGAAGATAGAAGCATCTTATTAACTTGTATTACTGGACGCCATGTCCTCGATGCTACTATCTACATCCTAAACTACATATAACTTGAGATGAATTAAATCATCCAATTCAGTTTAAAACAAACATTTACATACAAGACATCTACCATTTGGCCCCGTTCGCTTGTCTTAAATTTGGCTTGTTCGGCTTATTTTTTCAGCCGGAACAGTGTTTTTCTCTCACAACAATTCAGCCGGAACAGTATTTTTCAGCCAGTTTCAGCCAAAGTTCAGACCAGCGAACGGGGCCAATGTTTATAACTAACATAAATATACAAAATGTAATCATGAAGGATTACGTGCTTCGAGTGGAGGAGACGTGAGGAGGACGAGTCAAGGAGGTCGGCAGGAAGAGCGAAGGCGATTCCTATTTTTGTGGACTACGGATTTGATGTAGAGACCTCCATTTGGGCTTTGGAATTGCTCAAAACGTAACTTTTCAATTCAACAACAATCCATGAAAAGAAGGCAGGCCCCCCACCTCCGAAAAAGCCAGTCCAACTCAGCCGAATTGAAGTCACCCGAACTTACCGCTGTGGAAATCCAATCTACTTACGGTATATCCGTTTTTGAAAAGAATATAATTCTACTTTGGTCCTTAGCCAAACTACCTAATGTGTTGACCTTATGTAGTATTAAAAAAACATTTACGATATGTATTTATAATAAAGTGTGAAAATATACCTCATAACAAATCTAAATATCAGGGTTCAAAAAAACGTTATTAAACGCCATTTAATCGAGTTTAGTCGTTGAACGGTGGCCCAACGTCTCGTTTAGGGGGTAGGCGTTCAATTAGACGCTGGGCGGTCCTAGGCGCTCGTCTACACGCGTTGCAGCGAGTAAACGTCGCGAATCGGAGAAAAACGTCGGCGGCGGTGGAAATCGCGCAGCAAGTCTTGCGGGGGGGTCGGTCGGTCATAAAGGCAAGGAAAGGAACGGGGGCGGGAAATCGCGCCCTTGCGCGCGGAAAAGAAGAGCGGCGGGCGCGAAATCACCAGCTAAGCGGGCGCGAAAGGAACAGAGAGAGGCATCGGGCTTCATGCCGCGTCGCCGCATCTCGGCTCTCGCGTGCCTCCTCCTCCCAGCCCCGCCTCCTCCCGCCGTGAGCTGCTGCCTCATCGCCATCCCTAAGATTCGACGCAGAGGCCGACGGACGCCCAGCCACAGATCCCGGCTACACGAGGGCCATAGTTGCTGCGTTCCGCTTCTCCACTGCAGAGAGCAGACACGCAGGGTCTCCACCACCGCAAGACACAGCCCCCTGCTCCTTCTCTCCAGGTGCTCCATTGGTCTCTCCCATCTTCCCTTGCTATGTAGTCTGCAAATTTTGATTTGTGCATGTCAATCACTCAATTGATGAATTGGATTGGGGATTTAGGGTTAAGATTCAATGTGTATTAGTACTGTCATGCTCGAGCTCCTTAGTCCTTATGATGGGTTCATCTTTGGTCCTTATTATGCCTTCTAATCCTGTTCTTGGATTGGGATTAGCATGGCAACGTCTGAAGTCGCACATTGCTTCTTTGAAATCTTGAGGCAATGACTCTAGAAGTCAATCAGGTTGACAACCACCTAAAGAGGAAATCATCTGATATAGGTTGGGAGTGGGGCGTCTCTGTGATCCCAATGACAAGAACAGAGTCAAGTGTCTTTTTGTGGCCAAGAGAGCACAAAGCAGAGAATTTATCGCCTTAGCAACATCTTGCTCATGTTGGCACATCTATTGTGAAGTGCTCAAAAGTGAGTGAGGAAGTGAAGCAAAAAGTGCAAGAGGAATCTTGATGAAACAACAAAAGAAGAAAAGAGATAAGCAACAGACATGACAAAGAGGTTAGGGAGAATGTGCGGCTTTCAACAAATTGAACAGAAGTGGTAGAAGTTGAGTCACTTGTTGGAAGCTCAAATACGCCTCGCAAGCTAGGACCCTTGGACAAATTTGCAAGACCGATTGATCCCAACTTAAGCAATGCCGAAGCTAAGAGGCAACAAAACATAAATGATGCACTTTGGAAAGAGAGAACACACAAAGTGCAGCAATATGTTGCTAGATGGGTGTATACACATGGTATGTTTTGTACTTCACACTAATTGATCATTCCTTATTGTTGCAGCCTTCATAATTATTGTAATCCATTCATGATTAGTTGCTGGAATTTAATTTTGTACCAATTTATTCTGCAGCTATTCCATTCAATGCCCATGATAATGATGAGTTTAGGGAAATGGTTGAAGCTATTGGGCAATTTGGTCCTGGTTTCCACCCTCCAACTCAAGATGATCTTGGGGAAATTATTGGAAGAGGAGCATGCAAGAACCAAGAGCTTGCTACAAGATCGTGAAGATGAGAAGATTAAGCATGGCTGCTCCATCATGACTGATGCTTGGACAGATATGAAGAGAAGAAGTATTATGAACCTGTGCACAAATACTAGTGAGGGAACAACTTTTATCAAGTCAAAGGAGATGTCAGATGTGTCACACACTAGTGAAGTTATATATGAGCTGGTTGATAAGGCAATTGAGGATGTTGGTGCTGAAAATGTGGTGCAAATTGTGACAGATAATGCTTCTAACAACATGGGAGCAAAGACATTGTTGAGCCTTAAGAGACCAAACATATTTTGGACTTCTTGTGCAACTCATACTGTCAATTTGATGCTGCAAGGTATTGGCAACCTTCCAAAGTTCAAGAAAACAATTGATCTTGCGAAATCATTCACTATCTTTGTCTATAGTCACCACCAAACTTTGGCATGCTTAAGGTCCTTCACCTTGAAGAGAGAAATCATTAGGCCAGGGGTAACTAGATTTGCTACAACCTATCTTACATTGCAAAGTATGATGGAAAAGAAAGATTGTCTGAGAAAGATGGTGGTTGATTCAAAGTGGTATGACTTACCTGATGTGAAGTCCAAGAAGGGCAAGGATGCTATAGCTACGGTGTTGAACATTAATTTTTGGAGAGATGTGTCCCTTTGTTTGAAGGTCTTTGAGCCCTTGGTGAAAGTGCTACGCTTAGTTGATGGGGATGTGAAGCCATCTATGGGTTATGTGTACGGAGAACTTCTCAAGGCAAAGAGGGAGATAAAGGAGGCATTTGGAAATGTGGAAAAGAACTACAAAGAAGTCATGGCTATTGTTGACGAGAAAATGAAGGGTAGGCTTGATTCTCCAACTCATGTGGCTGCATATATGCTGAATCCCTACTACAGTTATAGCAATGTAGCAATATTCTCTGATCCAACTGTGGTTGAAAAATTCATGCAATGTGTGGAAACCTTTTAGTATTTACTACTCATCTTGGTTTCAGCAGCACAAAAATATTAAAATAATTAAAAAACATACAAACGATTAATCACGTTTAATCTACGTTTAATCTTCCTAGGCACTAGTCAGTAGGCTAGCGCCTGCCTAGCGCCTAGCGTTTTTTTGAACATTGCTCAATATATTCCTACTTATTTTAATATATATATATATATATATATAGAGATATTGAATAGATTTTTTTTTATCTAGAGACAGGGACTCTTATCCACTCAGTCCATTTGATAGGAACCGAAGGCATCATTATCCGGTTTCGCACGCTTACTCCTACTTTAATTTTGTATACTGTATAGTATTGTAGTCTCTGATCCATCTGCCAAGTCAACGATCGGATAAACATTAAGATTAACCCTTCCGGTACTTTTTCATGTACTGTACAGTATGTATGTATAATTGCCCGAAGGCGGGTGGCCACACGCCTACTCCACCGTTTTGGTTAAGTTCGTTTGTCTTATAATTTGTATTTTTTAGTTTATTTTTTTTAATTAAAATAATATTTTTTTTAATAATAAGCCTGTTAGAATAATATTTCAATTTATTTTTTTAGCGAAGCTGACGGAGTCTTTGCCTCGTGAACTCCGCCTGGACCTGCAGACTGGAGTGAAAATATCCTTTCCTGTTGCTATCTAAAGCATTCAACGCTTCAAGTCCTTCAAGCATCAACTACCCGCGGAAATCAATAAATAAAAAGCACCCCACCCCCACCCCCCCACCCCCACCCCGGCCCCGTCCTCTGCCTCCGCCTCGCCTCCGGCCGTCGCTCCCTCCACTGTCAGCTGCAGCTGCGGCCTCCATCAGACAGACAGAGCACCACCGCCCCCGATCGATCGGTCGTCTCCGGAGTCCGCAGGATGGGGTGCGCCTTCTCGTCGGCGGGCTCCGCGGGGGCGCTGCGGCCGTGCGCGGGGGTGCGGGTCATCCACACCAACGGGTACGTGGAGGACTTCGAGGGCCCCGGCGTGGTGACCGTGGCGACCGTCACGGGCTGCCTCTCCGACTCCTCCTCCGCCGGCAACGGCGACAACAACGGCAAGGGGTACGTGCTGTGCTCGGCCGCGCACCTGCTGCAGCCCGGGCGCGGGCCGTTCCGGCCCGACGACGCGCTGCAGCCGGGCACCGTCTACTTCCTGCTCCCGCAGTCGGTGTTCCAGGCCGAGTCCTCTGCCGTGGACCTCGCCTGCCTCATGAACCGCCTCACCGCGCTCGCCCGCAAGGGCTGCGCCACCGCCGCGCCCAAGCCCAGCCCGCTCGACGCGCTCTTCGACGCCGACGCCGCCGGCAGTCGCCAGCCGCAGCAGCCTGTGGCTGTGGCTGTGCCTGCGGCGGCCAAGGAGAAGGATGAGCCCGGGCGGGCGGCGCCATGGAGGCCCTGCCTGGACCGCATCGACGAGTCCATCGGCCGCGCCTCCATGCGCAGCGCGTCCAGCCGCAGCGCCTGCAGCGAGGCCTGATGCCGTCACATCCCTCAACCCTTTTCCCTCCTTTAGCTTTGGTTTCTAGCTAGATTTCTTCTCTCTTTTTTGATCTCCTCTCTGTCTCTCTTTAATTAATCTCTCTTCTTTTACAGTAGTGCATACCGATGGCTGGTTTTGTTTGATGTTTCTAGTAGAAGAATTGTAAAGATCCACAGTACAGTGCCGGATTGTATTGCCTATGATGTGATGATGAGTTTGTTGCTTTGCTGATGGTGTTATTAGATTCAGGCATTCAGCCAGCGTCGTATTGTCAGAAGCTCTCCTCTGCTCGGCTGCTTCTCTAACGTCCTGTTCTTGTAATTTGTAAAAGCTTGGCTCGCTAGTGCGCCCCTTCTCTGATTTGTTATCAGAGACTGGTCTGGTCGTCGATTCGTCGTCGAGCATCGGAGCATGCAGCTCTTGCTTTTGCTTCCAGATTCAGATGACGAGGGCTCGCGACTCGGACCAGAGACTACGCTTGCGTTGCGTCAGTTCCACGGAGGATGCTCTGCACTTTCCGGTCCGGTGAGTGTCAGCAACAGCTCGCAGTTTTGTTTTGCCTTCAAAATCTGTATATATGTACTGGATGCTGGTGGCGGCACGGGGCTTTGGTTTCTTCCAGGCCATGGCCCATGGCCAGCCAGCCAGTGACTCGGCCGCCACCTACCTCCAACGTCTGACCGCCAGGTCTCCATCACGCCACTCCTTTCTGCGTCCGTCCGCTACTCCGCTTCACTTTCTGTTCTGGTCTCCATGGCTGTGTTTCGTCTGTTTGTTGTTCATCGGTTTCGTAAAGGCACTGCGCAAGTGCGTAATCCTTACGCCGTCCAGGTCTCCGCGGATGCCAAGCCCTCGTGCAACCTCAACGAAAATACATACAGTACATATACACTGGAAAACGCGACACATTTGCATTGGGCCGGCCATTCCAAACCTCATTTGACACGCCTACCAAACGGCTCCCGTTTTCAGTATCTCCTAGTCTAGTAGTCGTAGTAGGACCTGGTGAAGGGGCAAAAAAAAAAAAAACTACTGATAAGTAAACTCCACTCTCGGTTCCTAGTTTATTCTAGCGTCTGAGAGTGGTGTGGCAAACGAGGTTCTTAAACTATCTATCTACGCCAAAGCAAGTATGCATATACAATTCTTCTGCTTGCAAGTATCGTCCCGGCCCCGTCGGTCACCATCTCTCTGGTGTCTTCTCCCCTCACGGATACGGCACACGCCAAATGCAAAACGGGTGGGCGGTGTGAAAGCAGCCACCGGCACGCCAAGATTCTAGGGCACCCCGCGTCAGTGACTGCTACGTGTCTCTATTAAATACTTTCTCCGTTTGACTTATGCATTTTAAATATATATTTTTTTAAAAATATAAGTAAAAGCATCAATTTTAATATTATTTTTTGAAATACATATAAGATAACAACACAATATTTTATGTTTTTTTTTATTTGGTACTTGAAAACTTTCATAATTTTATCATTTGTATGTTGTAAAACTACGTAGATTGTATTGAGACTGATGGTAAAAGTTCAAATGTTTAACTAGAACAAAACTAATGGAACATGTAAAAAAAAAAGAGAGCAGTATATATTTGGCTTGAGAAAAAGATAGTGAGCGCCAAATCATCATCGTCAGATGGTTGGTCTCTTCAGTCAGCTCCGTCAGCTGCAGCCTGCAGCGGCCGCCGCTGTTTCTGTAGCAGCACAAGGTTTCCGCTGCCCCTGCGGCCCTGCCCACAGGTAGCGCGCCTCTCTTTCAGTGCAAGGCTGCAGGCACATCTCTCTCTTGTCCTCTCTGCATCAACACAGCACGGATACAATACGAGGCAATCCAAACTCCAAAGCTACTAGCTTCGTCGTCATTCGGAAGCCATCGCTAGTGTTTGACCGTCAAAAGTATTACAAGTTGTTTTTGGAGGGAGCGACAAGTGTTAAAAGATTGACACTGGTGCTGTATAATTAAAGAAGAAGATTAGTACCCACTACCAGGCCACTAATGTCAATGTATCCGTACAAGTTGTTGCAGGTGTTTGAAACATTCAAAAGGTTCGGTAGCTGCAGGTCCTATCGGATGTTTGATATATGCATGGAGTATTAAATATAGACTAATTACGAAACTAATTGAACAGTTTATGACTAATTTACGAGACGAATCTTTTAAGCCTAATTAGTCTAGGATTTGATAATGTAGTGCTACAGTAAACGTGTGCTAATGACGGATTACTTAGCCTTAATAAATTCATCATGTGGAGTACCGACGGATTCTGTAATTTGCTTTTTTATTAGTATGCGAACACCCCATACGACATCCTCATGTGACATCTCCTAAATTTTAGTCACCGGATCCAAACACCCCCTTAGCAGTACGTGAAAAAGCACACGCTAGCGGTCGCCGTTGCCATCGATGCTAGTTGCTGACTGATCCGGGCCCGGGGATCCGGCGGGGACTAACCTTTGATGTGGTGTTTAGATACAGGGTAAAGTTTCGAGGTGTCACATCTGATGTTACATGGGGTGTCACATAGGGTTGCTCAAATACTGATAAAAAAACAAATTACAGAATCCATCATTAAACCGCCAGATGGATTTATTAAGCCTAATTAATCCGGCATTAGCACATGTGTTACTGTAGCACTTTGTTGTCAAATCATAGACTAATTAGGCTTAAAAAATTCGTCTCGCAAAGTAGTCGTAATCTGTACAATTAGTTATTTTTTAGTCTATATTTAATACTCTATACATGTGTCAAATATTCGATGTGATGGAGTATCCAAACTACCGGTTGCAGACTTGCAGCTACCGAGCCTTTTAATGTTTCAAACACCTGCAACAACTTGTACGGATACATTAACATTAATGGCCTGGTAGTGGGTACTAATCTTCTTCTTTAATTATACGGCACCAGTGTCAATCTTTAACACTTGTCGCTCCCTCCAAAAACAACTTGTAATACTTTTGACTGTGCCATACTCCCAGGATTCCCGACTACCAGATATGCTGCTATAGAATCTGTACCAAAGAAGACCCGAAGGTTCACGACTCGCCTATTCAAGAAAGGATATATGAAGATCACGTCAAGACTCCGACTAGGGCACGACTGTGTAACTTGTAGGGCAAGTAGGCCTCGAATATAAATAGCTAGCCATCCGTTCTGTTGTAATCATCGAAACTCTCATAGACATAGCCATCTTGTACTCGCCATCACGCCATCCCGACGAGATCGTAATACAAACAAGTAGCAACTAGACGTACGGCTTTTACTCGCTTCCTGGGGGCCCGAACCGGTATAAATCTTGTGTCTCCATCATGTTTGCTCTTTGCATCAAGCGAGTTCCGCTAAGAACCGAGTATCTGCTGGTAAAAAACACCGACAGAGGCATTGCCGATCGTCAATGAAGTTTGGTATGCCGCACAGTCACGTTTCGACGTCGAGGTATTGCCTACTTCGGCCAAATCTGATATCTTGGGCGACTACTACTCAGGACTTCAGATCTATTCACCATCCCGTAACGTGCCACAAACTATCCACTTCGTAAGCTTTGGTATTCAAGCATGACGGTGATTTCAATATCAAGTGGACGGGGATCGATGATCCCGATCTGACTCGCGCCGGCCGGGAGGTTTTTGCCTGCTGGGGACACCCGACTGAGGAGGAGAAGAATGATAAAACTACTCAGCTTGATCTAGACTTCGAGGACTCTGACAATGAGTTAGATCCCTTCGAAAGCCGCAGGCTGTATATGGCTAGTCGTGCTTAGACCCCCGCCGAAGAGGCTGGCCTGTCGGTTTCCTGACCACCTCCATGCTTGAGCAGCGCACCGGCACTCAACATAGCTGTGCCTAGGGCGCCAACTCAATCTACCCTGGTTCTAAGGAATCTAAGTTCTGACTTCTGGGTAGCCCAAGAAGATAACATCCATATCAGAACGCTCCTAGGCACTATGGGAGCCCTGGCAGAAGAAGGCACACCCTTGGCAAAAATCATTGAGCAGGCTCAAAATCTGGCTGACCAGATGAAGCAGCGCATGGATGCCAGAGCAGTCAAATCGCGATCTCAATCGAGAGGTCGAAACCCTCCTCCCAAGAGATCCAATCTATCGGTAGGAAATCGTTATCAACCAAGACGAGGCCAAGATCTACGACCCGAATTTGATAGGAATCATCAGAATCGTGATGCTCGGGAGACCATCAATATCAACATGGCCCAGCATAGGAACTACTCGGTTAGCCCCTATTCAGCATTTGCGCACAAGCTACGTCAGGTGATATGGCTCGACAAGTTCCGTCCTGGACCCTTTGAGAAGTACGATGGGACTACCAACCCTAAGGAGTGGATCCAGATCTATGAGATGGTGACCGAGGCAGCATCAGGAGATGACTATGTAAAAGCCAACTTTGTGTCGACTGTCCTTCAGGGGTTCGCCTGAACGTGGCTGATGAACTTTCCCGAGTGCACGGTCTAGTCTTGGAACCATCTACGCCAGTTGTTCGAAGCCAACTTTCATGCGACTTATAACCGTCCCGGTGTTGGCGGTCACTAATGATCATATCTGACCGCCAATTATAGCCCAAAACAGGAGAAATAGACATGCTTTTGACACATATGCATTTACTATTGACCTAGTTCCACTTGTATTGGAGAAATCATGTTTTGCAGGTCACATATTTGAATACAAGTGGAAAACATACCAAAAGGCGCAAACAGAAAGTGTAAAGCAGAAATGCGCAAAGGAGAATAAGAAGAGAAGCCCACCTACACAACTTACCTAGGCAGAATACCACCGTAGACAGGGTCTAGGCCCATCCAGGAACTGACCAAGCAAAGACAGTCATGAGGTGGGCGTACCCAAGGTGCGGCCGCACCCCCACCGCCTCCGCTTGGCCCCACTCTTCTACGACGGTTGCATGCCACCATGCTACGGCGGTTCCCTGGGGTTTCCTTATTTTTTAGCACCAAACCAACCCAGTCACTAGTATAAGAAGAGGGCTAGAGCT